CCATGTACAAAAAGCAACTCAAAATGGATTAAAGACTTAAGTCTTGAAACTATGAAACTACTAAAAGAAAACACTGGTGAAAGCCTATAGGAAATTGGTCTGGCCAAAAATTTTTTGGATAAGACCTCAAGAGCACAGGCAACAAAAGCAAAAATAGACAAGTAGGATTACGTCAAGCAGAAAAGCTCTGCACAGCAAGGAAAATAATCAACAAAGTGAAGAGACAACCTGCGGAATGGGAGAGAATATCAATATTTGCAAACTGTCCACCGAGGGATTAATAACCAGAACATAATGGAGACTCAATCCAGCAGCAAAGTAATGATAATGCAGTTAAAAATGATCAAAAGACCTGAACAGTCATTCCTCAAAAGAAAGCATACAAATGGCCAACAGGTATATTAAAAAATGTTCAATATCATTAATCATCAGAGAAATGCAAATTAAAACAGTAATGAGATATGACCCCAGTTAGGATGGCCGTTATCAAAAAGACAAAAATAACAAGTGTGGGTGAGGACGCAGAGAAAGGGGAATGCTGGTCCACTGTTGGTGGGAATGGGAAGTAGTGAATCCTTTATAAAAGACAGTATGGAGGTTCCTCAAACAACTAAAAATCAAACTACAGTATGATTCAGCCATCCCACTTCTTTGTATATATCCAAATGAAAGGAAATGTGTATATTGAAGAGATACCTGTACTTCATTTTTACTGCAGTAGAAATTCATGATAGCCAACATATGGACACCTAAGTGTCCATCAACAGATGAATGGATTAAAAAGGTGGCATATATAAACAATAAAAGATTGTTCAGCTATAGAGATGAATAAAATCCAGTCATTTATAGCCACGTGGATGAAACTGGAGGTCACTATGCTAAGTGAAATCAGCCAGGCTCAGACAGACACTCATTCCATGTTCTCACTCATATGTGGGAGCTGAAAAAGTGGACCTTATGGAGGTAGAGAGTGGAATGGTGGATGCCAGAGACTGGGAAGCGAGGAGGTGATGGGAGGGGATAAAAAGTAGTTGGCTGAGGGGTACAAAACTACAGTTAAACAGAAGGAATAAGTTCTAACATTTGCTGGCACAGTAGGGAAATTATGGTTAACAATTTATTGTATATTTTTAAATTGCTAGAAGAAAAATGATTTACAGTGCCCTCAACGCAGGGAAAGTGTTGAAGTGATTGATATTTTAATTACCATAGTTTATTATTATACATTGTGTACAGGTATCAAAACATCACGTGTACCCCTAAAATATGAATGACTCTTACATCACAATAAAAATATTTGATTAAAAAAATAGGCCTGATTTTGTTTCAAAGTTATATTATCAGAGATTTTCTTTCTTCTGATCTTTTACCAAAAAAGATGATAAATTTTACTTAATGAAGGCTAAAATCATTGCAGCGGACCCTACTGGCATTGCTGATTCCGCCCAGAGTCTGTGCACTGGTTGCTAAGAGTGTGAACTTGCAGTCTTCAGAGGACTTCTTGGCCACTGGAACCTTTCACAGAAAGAAGAGTAGGAAATGCCTGGGAACTCCATCCTCCTGAGGCCGGCTCTAAGCCAATGACAGAGTGCTTTGACAACGGGGAACCCCTGCTCCTCTGCAAGGCTGTGCATGTCCATGGCTGGGAGTTCACCTAAAACCATATCCCTGCTGTGCAGATTCCCTCCCTGCCCTACTGACACTCTCCCTGCCTGTCAGGGGATTGTGTCCTTGCTGGGTTGCTTGAACCAAGCTTCTCCTTTTGGGGTCCACCTCTGGGGAGAACCTAACTTACGACACCAAGCACAGTACTGAGAAAATACTTTATCTTATATGCAAATGTTCATCAAATTTCAAGCAAGGTGGTTTTTTTTTTTTTTTTTTTTTTTTTTTTTGCCTGCATCTCAGGTTTCTAGCCTAGTCTCTGTTACAGAGTTAGCGGGAGTTGGATGTAGAATGACGGTCAAGGCTGCACCAGTGTCTTCAGGGTTGACTATGAGCCCAGAAAACTCACATGGCACTCTGAGAGGTGTAACCCCACAGACAACCATGTGGGCATCTTAAGTTATGGGGGGGCTCAGGAACAAACAATATTCTATTACAGAGATGGAGAGCTTTAATAAAACTCCAATTTGCATTTAAAAAAAAACTATAGATAGTGGCCATAAATTCAAATGTACATACATGTATATTCTATAAAATGATTAGACGTTCTCTCAGAATGGAAGTTCTATGTTTTTATATATTCAGTCTCAAAATATTTATTGAACACTTCCTGTATGCCAAGTATTTTCTAAGATAATTTTTTAAAGGCTCACTACCTGGTCTGTCTTTGTGGCATGAGTAATGGAATAAGGAGAAGAGATGGGGAGTGTGCAGGTTTCTTCTGATCCCTGTTGTCTCTGAGCAAGGGTTCAGGGCACCACAGGGCTGTCCCTGCTTTGAGAAGATCTGGGCTTCTTGGGGCTGACCTGGAGGTTGGAGAAGCAAAAGTCACACAGGTTTAAAATTATGACTGCTGAGGTGTCCTGGTGCTGGTGAGGCCAGTGGATAGCTAGAAGAGAGAAAACACTCTGTGATATCTGGGTAAGTGTTGGGACTGAGGAGTTGCCTAGGACACTGGACATTGGTTGCTAACACTAGGAATGTCCACAGTCAGTCACCTCATATTTTTATGGCTCCTGTGATCCTGTCTAGTGTGGGGCTGTGCACCTAGGGGGAAGGCATTTCCTGTATCTCCTGGTAAACAGGTGAATATTTTATCGTCTCACTTTCCTGGCTGATACATAGAACTTGACCCCTTTCCTTGATTTCCATTGAAAATTTTCCTACTTGAGTCACTAATGTTTGAAGTGGAGTCTGGAGAAGGTCTTAAGAGACAGAGTGAACAAACACCACAGAGACACAGGAGCTTAAACTGAAACCATGCCCCACGCCTGCGACAGTGGACTCTGCCTCTGTTGGCCAGTCCCTCTCTCTCTTCTGTCCTCCATCCTCCTCTTCTCTGTCTTCTGCTTCTCAGCACACCGAGATTCTCACTTACTGATGAGTTTGATTAGTTCGCCTGTATCTTTGAAGTCTCTTTCTAATCTATTACCATAGACCTCAGCTCCCCAGGAAGGGTTACTTATGCAGGAGTCTTCCTGTGCAAAGTGAGTTCCCTCCTTCAGGTGTAAGGATGTTGTTGCTGAGGTCAGCCTCTTGGGTGTCCTGAATTTTTGCCTAGTGGACCTCCTGCAGGAGTGTGGAACTGCTGCCTGGACCCTCACTTCATGCTGCATGGGGATTACAGTGATGGGGGTTACAGAAGATTTCAATAGTTGGAAAAATCTCTCTGGTTTGATACAAAGATGAAGAAATTCTCCAAGTTGGGAAAAAATTAAAAGCTAATGTTAAAAATGGAAACTGCAGAGCAAGACTCTCATGAAAGACGTGCTTTACTAGGAAAATGCTCAGCGTATCACAAGGTTAGCTCCAATCTGAGCAATCCTCTAAAGAGCTCACCTCTGCCTACTGGGAGATTTCCCTTGAGAAATTCACCTTTAGCTTCGTGGGTGTGTTCATGTCTTTAGAAACCATTTTCACGGCCAGTTTTCTTGGTACATATTTATCCAATAAGTGACTAATTCTTTAAGTGAGCTGGTTAGATGTTTAGGCCATAGTTTGTCTCTGTGGATAGCTTAGAAAATCATACACTTACAGGATTTAGACCTTGAAGAGGTTCCTACTCAGTGCCCTCATTTTAAATGTGAGGAAAACAAAGCTCGAAAGAAGTAAGGCTGGCATGTGTAATTTGGACTAGATTCATCAATGTCTTCTTTCCCTGGAGACAGATCTTCCCCAAACCTGGGGATCCATCTCTGGCTATTGGTAAGTGTGGCCTTACGTGGCCCGCTCATAGCAGACACTGGTGACTTTTCATCTGCGTTAACTGATTCACCAGTCACTGTAGGGTGCAGATGTTACCAACATCATCCCATGGTATAGACAGTGAGAGGGTTTGCTCGCTGCCCCACAATCAGGAGTGGCAGAGCTTGGATTTGGACCCAGGTGGTTGGGCCTGCTAGGTAGGCTCTGAACACCAGCAGCACCCTGCCTCTGAGTCCAGACACCAAGACTGTGGAAGTCCACTCTGCACTCTTTCTGGGATGCTCCTATCATTTAAAGTGTTTGGGTAGGCCATCTAATCAACATCTTTCCCTAAGCAACGGGAAGCAAGATCGATGTTCCCAAAAGCTGCTTTGCAACTGTCATTTAAAAATTTACTGATGAAAAATTATTTTGATTGTTTCAGAGTTTTCAAGGCTTCTCTATAAAATTGCCTTGCTTGAATTTTTTGTTTAACTTTTTGCAGTCGGATAAAAATATTCCCCAGTCCTTTGAGGGCCAAGAGCAGTTTGCCATCATCATAACTTTTCAGAGCCAGCAAGTTTTCTTTCATGAAGCTACTTCCCATCTCCCGATACCTTCAAGGGTTCTGTTGACTGTTTTAGATTATACTCTGGCCCTTCGGTATAGAGTGTAGTGTTTTGGTTTTTTTTTTCCACCAAGGCTGCAGTGCAGTGGTATGATTACAGCTCACTGCAGCCTCGACCTCCCAGGCTCAGGTAATCTTCCCATCTCAGCCTCCCGAGTAGCTGAGACTACAATCACACACCACCGTGCCCAGCTAATATTTTTTATTTTTAGTAGAGACAGGGTGTTGCCATGTTGCCCAGGCTGGTCTTAAACTCCTGGGCGCAAGTGATCCATCCATCTTGGCCTCCCAAAGTGCTGGATTACAGGCATGAGCCACCTCACCCAACCATGTGATGTTAAGGGGGGGAATGTTTTCTTAAGTCAGGCAATGAAAGACATGAAATAAAGGCATCTTAACTGTTTTCCGGAAACATATGTTATGCAATGGATGCGTGTGTGCGGCAATGCGTATATGACCTTAGATACTCTCAGAACGAGCCTGTTGACTGTGTGCCTTACTGAGGTCTGTTTCTGCCTTCCAGTTTTACGGGAGCCCTATACAGTCCGTGTGGAGGACCAGAAAACCATGAGAGGCAATGTCGCGGTCTTCAAGTGCATTATCCCCTCCTCGGTGGAGGCGTACATCGCTGTCGTCTCATGGGAGAAAGACACGGTTTCACTTGTCTCAGGTAGGCTTTGCATCTCCAGGGTGCAAGACGCCATGCTCACCTTCTGGAAAGGTTATTTCAGAGATGGAATTGGGTCTCCATGTATGTGTTAATCATTATTCAGAATTAGTATTCGTAAGGTTGATGCTATTTTATAAGTAAACCTGAAATAAGTGTTTTGTGTTGGCTTATGATGGCTTGATTCGGATCTTCTTTGGTGAGTTGACTGATGAAGAGAAATTAGTGACTGGCAATGTAACTATAGCTATTATGTTAACTTCTTTGAGAAAATTGTGGTTTTATGTCTGCTTCTGAAAACAAGGTAATAGTATTGTGCATCTGTGACAGACCTCAGTGTTGCACAGAGAGCTGATATTCTGAAACTAAAATCTGGGTGCTGGAAACCCTGTTTTCATGCACTCTGTGTGCTTTCCCGTGTCTTGAGTTATGTTGTATCTCTGACCTATTTCTTGAAGATTCTACTAAGAATACATATGCAGCACTGCAATGTGTATTTGCATATGAGTAATTTCTTGGCTTATATTTGATGTCTAGAAAAGACAAAATTTAAATTTAGCCTCCAAGAAACTGCAGTTCTTCCTTTCTAATGATGTTGAACTGGATTTCTTTCTCTGTGCTATTTACCTGGGAAGGCTACTGTTGGGGTGATAGATGGTGCTCCTGTTCTGTGCATCTTGGATAATGACTGTTGGCATATCTCAAAATGTATTGGCTGCTTTTGGAAAAGAATTGTGATGAGCCTAGTCTGTGTTCCAATGTGTATTATAAATAGTTGCTTTTTAAAAACATGTCTTTATGCCCTCGCATGAAGATGCACACATACACGCACAGCACACATTTTAGCATAATTTTTGAATAAGCAACATTTTATCAATTTATAGAGAGGAGGATTTAGAACTAAACCCTCATGGTGACACACCATTTTTGTTTTTCAGCTTATTGATTAGCTGGAGAGTGTTGATTACTATGCACCAATGACCAGAGGCATTTAAAAGATCAAAATTGAAATATGTCATCATCATAGCCTGTTGCAGGAATATAGGATAAAATGGAGTTCTTAGTTTTTATAAAAAGCATTGTCTTTACAGTGAATTGAAAACCCCTCACACTTCAATGAACAATACATTCCTTGCTGTTATGTTGACTAATCATCATCACTTAACTTAGGGTGTTGAAAAATGCTAAGCTTAAAACCTGAAATGCGATTGTAATAATCAGAATAGAGACTCACTTATACACTTTTATTTGCCAGTTTTCAGTGTTGAAACATCTTCATCTTCTCTCCCTAGGGGTCATGTTAGTTTTCTTAATGACAGATGGAAGGATTTGATTAGTCATCTGGCTGAGTCAGAGTCAGAGGGGAGAGGCCCTCAAATTTATATGGCCAGGGAGTATAGATTCAGGGAGGGGAAGAATTGAGGCTGACTTTTCAGTCTTCCAGAGTCAGAGAACTAGGATGGGGACTTCACCGTCTTTTAACTCAGTCATCCAAATTTGCAGCCTCCGAGTATGCTCTGGCAGAGGAAGAGAGCATGGGAGAATTCCAAACGCCTTCTTAGTGCCTCTATGTGGAGGTGACACATGTTGTCTCTGTTCATATTGAATTGGCTAAAGCAAGTCTCGTGGCCATGCCTGACTTCAGTGGGGCATGTGCCTGAAAGAAGAGAAAACATCTCGATACCAGGAGGATTTTGGTATCGAGATGGTTTGTATAATATGTTTGTTCTTTTGTTTCCTAGACATCTTTAATTAGTCGTATCCTCATATTCGTGTTTCACCTTTTTGTAATCTCTGTTAACAGACTTCATTTTCCTTCAAATGTGAACCTAATTAGATTAAAAAAAGGGAATTTAGTGAGGGGATGATGCTGGCATGCGGAGCGCACACTTGGTGTCTCACTGATAGGAACTGTTAAATCTCAGCTCCTCTCAGGAGAGGAGAGGGCTGGAGCTTCATCCTTCCAGTCATACACTGGAGCTGCATCCTTTCATAAAATTTTAAAAGCAAATGTTTTGGATAAGCACTTGGCTTTTACTTCACAACAGCATCTAGAAAATAAATACAACGCAGCTGTTTATCCTATGGAGGAATACATCAACAAGAAGCTTTTGTTTGTAAGTGAGCCATTAAAAGAAAGAGAAAAAGAGAGACTTCATACCAGGTCGTTCAACTTGAGCCTAATAGTAGACTTGTCACTAAAAATGACCTTGTAAATGACAACAAGACCCCAAAGCATTGGCGTGATCTTTTTGCAAGAAGTCTTGAAATTGTGACTTTTTACCTGACTTCTGTTACTCACTGCTACAATCAGGTTCTGTTCCCAGTGGCTAAGCCCCACCCATCATAGTGCCCAGAAAATGAGGAAGTCCTGAAGTCACTGGAGGTGACACATGGTTTAAAACATTAGAGATCTTGATAAATAAACCATGCTCAGGTAGTCTAGGTAGAGAAGGGTTATATTTCTGTCTGGTTACAGGACATGGCACAGATAAGGACAGAGGACAGTCTCCCCCCACCATCACCCAGGCTGTGCTGGGTGGGGAGGGCACTAAAAGGAGGAACCTCCCTCTTCCACGCTGGCTGGGGCTGAGCCACTCCGGGAAGCACCAGGATTCTTAGCTTCAGGGGATGTCCTTGCACAGCACGGAAGTCCCAGGAACAGAGGGACTTTTTCTAAATTAGCCCTGACCTTCAGAGAAGCTGTCCCGAATGCCATATGCACAACAGATGATCTGTAAAAGGTTAATTTGCATCTGCTTTGTAAATAAACTGTAACTCCTGCTGAACTAGTTTGTATTTATTCCTTGGCACGGCCATCTCCCGGATTATCGGTCATCCCAGCCTGCTGGGGTCTGTCTGGGAAGTTTGTCCCAGGAAGCTTTCCTACTCTGCACAGATCACTCCCTTTAGCAGTGATTTCTCCCTGTGGAGAAAAGCGATTAACTAAATCAGCCATGGAAATAAGACTGTGTAAGTATCGGACTGAGTGAGTGAGTTAGGAGCGAGTATGGAAGTGCCGGAGAGTTGACCTAGGAAAACTGGGGGCTGCTGGCAGTCGAGAGAGGACCCAAAAAGAAGATTCACAGGCCATTGCCCATGATGCCCCGTTGGGCTCAGGGCAGAGCGTGACCTCTTGGCCTGGGGGATGCTTAGGTGCTCAGTCGTGACTATTGGGAGTTCCCCTGGGAAGGTTAGAGCAGCAAAGCCCTGCTTCTAACAGATGAGCATTCATGTGAATCTCTAGGTCAGGGGACCTTTGGAAATCCTGGTTAAGATAAATGCGTATTTGTCTTCTACAAATTCTTTTCAATGAAAAGCAAAATTAAAAACGTTGGTGTATTTCCTTAAAAAGAAACAAAATGGTTTCTATCAGTATGTCTCACTGGGTTTTGCCCTTTATTTTGGTTAAGAAAACAAATGAGTGGGTTATTGTCTTGAGAAGCACAAACCCAGTGTTTGTCAGGGTTTGAATGAGCGTGCTCCATCCTTACGGTGGTTTTCGGGAGCTTACTGCACGTTAGGGCATGCACTGATTTCTTTCCAGGGCACACTTCGGTCTGGCCTGAAGGCAGACTCAAAAATCAAGTTATGCCTTTTCATCATGTGAGGTCATGAGGCTACCAATATCAAGGACGTTCATGAGCTCATTGATTTTGAGGGATCTTTGGAAAGAATCCCCCAACTGCCAAAAAGTAGAAATCCCATAATTCTACCAAACAGAGGAAAGAGTCATCATATCTGATGCTGCTTTTCTGCCTGCCTGGGATCTTCCCTGGGCCCTGGGGCCCTGTATGGTGACCCTTCCCTCTGGTATGATGGGTGGGAGCAGGGTCATACATGTGCAGAGGAAAGACATTTAAGGGGCAGGCACACACAGTGCCATCAGAGGACCTTAGTTAATATGACAGATCCTGACCTATTGTCTTCTTACCTCCCCAAAAGGAGCCAGGAAAAACAAGAGTCATGGTGTCTATGTGCGTTTTTTTCTTTTTTAATATCCTCATCACCTATCCCAAGCTGCAATGAATCCTTTTAAATGCCATAATATTAATGTAGCCCAGTAAAAATACAGTAGCTTGAATAGCAATGTGCTTTTGGAGGTATTGCTGATGCGGAGATGCATAAGACACCATCCTGGAGAAAAACAGTAACCCTGGCTTTATATTTGGGTTTCCCTTGACTAGCCTGTTGTGAATTTCCTCCTGATTAGGGGGCTGGCAATAAGAGAGCCCAGCCTTCCGTTTCTGTTTCTTCTGATAAAATTGTGAGAATCTCACCAGGGGTTTAGCTACATTAACATCAAAGACACAGCCCAAGGGTAACCGGATTTGGAAAATGGAAAAAGCAAACATTTTACTATTCCCACAGAAACTACCTCCCTCCTTAACAGTGGCCCAATTTTCTGCTGTAATATTTCCTATCTGAATACCTCTATTAGTGATGATTCAAGGAGAATTTTATCTCTTAGGATCAGTGAGTTCAAGTCCAAGGGTGATTATCTTCTTCCTGTGTTTTGGGTAAACGTGAACAATTTTCTGCCCACATTAAATATCAAAGGACATAAACCAACCACTTTACATGAAACATGTGCTGTAATTCTTCACTGCCACAATTGGGTCTGGGCATCACAGATAACGCAAGACTTCAGCTCTAAGAAGCACTCCCTCCCCAGACCCCTGCAGAGATGGTTTCTGCTGTTGAGATGCTGGGGGAGGCTCCTGCACTGTCACTCTGGGGCTGTTGGTGCTGCGGCGTAGGCACTCAGGGGCTAAGGCTGCAGGTACACACATGGTTTTGCCCGGGGAAGTAGAGAAGGTTTCAGAAAGGAGGCTGTGATTTAAGAAAACCTTTGCATTTTAGATAGGGGAAAACAAATTATAGATACAGTCAACCGAATTAGACAAGGCTGTCCTTAAGCACGTTTCAGCAAACCAGAACTAAGAGCAGATTGGATGCCATGTATTCTCATGTGGGAAGGGAGAGAGAGCAGCGCAGCTGTT